AAAAAAAAAAAAAAAAAAAGAGTTGAGGTTTTACAGATTACCCTGTACTAGGTGGAGTGAGAGGGAAATTTGTTTCACACTTGCTAGTTAATACAAATACGAAGAGTCCCCCCCAAAATCCAGAATTACCTTTTGGAGGGTGGGCCCCTTGTAGAACAAGCGTCCCCTGCTAGGTAAGTGTTCTAGGAACCCATTGGCATCAGTGGACCAGCTAGTGTTGTTGTGAGAGGCTGTGTTCAGCTTCAATGCATTTTTTTTTTTTTTTTGGAGATTCTTTCAGTGTGTTTGCCCATTTCATGATGGGTCATTTACAATTACACCTGCCTGCACCATGCTGAGCGTTGGGCGGTTTTTTGACCAAAAAACGGCATGACCCCTGTGCCCCACCCTCTCTAGTCACCTGATCTCCTCCAAGCGGCTTATTTTGTTTGTTTCTCCATCCGGATGACCAAAGTTATCAAAGGGGAACGTTTTACCAGTGGAGAAGAGGTGAAACAAAAAAACCACAGAAGCACTGAAAGGCATCCAAACTGTTTTGAGCAGTGGAAAAAGCATCTTGATAGATGTTTTGTATCAAACGGAGAGAACTTCGAAGGTGACTAAAGTTTAAACCTGTAAGAATAAATACACGATTTTTTATAAATAAATTCCGGGTTTTCCGGATCCCCCTGGTACCTCACAGCCATCTCATGAAGTGGGCAGCTCTTCCTACCCCCATCCCATGAATGAAAAGACAGGGACTTGTCGTGTCCTCTCCCTGCTTGGATGGTTAGTGTGGCACACCAGGGAAGTTCGTGCTCGGTCATGTAACTATGACCCCTGGGGTTGTTTTCTCCTTACCTTATTTGATCTGTGATTTCTATTGAGTTCAAAAACGAAATGGGAAATGACATTTGTAAAGCAAATTAGAAGTGAGGGCTGTCTCTGTTCACAAGATCAGTCCTTGGCTCCAAGTAGCAGGGGTACCCATTTGGAGGGAAGAGATAGCGTTTAATATCCCTGTATGTCAGAACTGCTTATGTGAAGTGGACTAGAAGCTCAAGTGATAATCAGTGGTAAAACTTCCAGTAACTTCCTTTTAGGCAACCTTCAAGTGATTTCTGGCGTCTGCTACCAGGAAGGTGGTGATTCAGTCCTAGGACCCTCTCAGCGGCTTAGATGATACTTGGAGGTGAATTTAAATTCCAAAGCATGACTGTGTAATCATGGTTGAGGAATCCAAGAGTGTTTAGCAGACGGAAACTGAGCTTTTGGAGGAGGGATGGATTAACTGTCTCTATGTGTCAGCCTTCCAGATATTTGAAAGAAGAGTTAGACTTGTTTGAGTTGTGCCCAAAAGACAGAGTTAGTATGTCTGAAATGCTCAGTAACCACATAAAAGTAATAATAATTTGTAGTGGTTGCATCTGCCTGAGAAGGCCTTGAATTCCTGACATTGCAAACCCTTGTGAAAATTCTAACAGGGATATTGGATTGTACAACCCAACTCCCAAATCCCTCTCATTCGGTTTCTCTATCTCATGTTTATATCCCTGTCACTGAGCAGAGGATTGGTACGTGGTTCTGCATTCAGTTTGCTGTCTCACCAAATGCATCTTCCCAGAATTTGTAAAGTTAAATGTAAAGGTAACACTTAAGTTTTCTGTTGGGAATGGGTATCTGTGTGGGAAGAGACCATCTGAGAGCCATTGTAGGTGGAGGTCATCTGAGGGTTGCCATAGTGGGGAAGTGTGTGGGCATCCACATGTGGGGGTGGCCAGTATAGAGTGTGTGTGTGTGTGTGTGTGTGTGTGTGTGTGTGTGTGTGTGTGTGTGTGTTTGTGTGTGTGTGACTCAAGACTTTACCTGTAAATTTCCAGAACCAAATATCAATGTACCCATCCAGAATGCAGAGTAAACCAGCCCTGCAGGCTAGTGATTCTCTTGTGTTGTTGCGTTGTCTGGCCTTATCCTCTGAATGAACACTTCACTGTAATTGATATTGCTTTGCTTCGGACCCCATAGAGTTTTTGTTGTTGTTGTCTTGTGAGTTGGGGTTTCTGCCGCCCAGGCTGGAGTGCAGTGGTACAATCATGGCTCACCACAGCCTCAAACCTCTGGGCTAAAACCCTCCTGCCTCAGCCTCCTGAGCAACTGGGACTACAGGTGCACACTGCCACCCTTGGCAAATTTTTTTGATTTTTTTTGTAGAGACGAGGTCTCACTATGTTGTCCAGGCTGGTCTTGAACTCCTGGGCTCAAGCGATCCTCCCACCTTGGCCTCCCAGTGTGTTGGGATTACAGACCTGAGCCACTGTACCTAGCAGATCCCAGAGCTTCATATTGGCTCTGACTCCCGGAGGGTTTGAGGACTTGGGAACATTTGGCCAAGATCTTGGATTCCTTGTGGAAACACCCATCTTAGATGGGGGCGGTTCCTCTCTGCCTTTTGGGCCATGCCCCCACAACATTCGACTGCAGGAGACCTTACACCCTGAGTCTCCTATGTCTGAATCCCTCTGCCCTGGTTGCCCTCCAGACACGGCATCCTTCTCTGGGGCAGAGCAGAGAAGTCTTTCTTCTTTCTTCTAACCCTGACCCTCTTTCCGCACTTTCTCGTTCCCTATCATTTTCTTTCCTGTCTGTAGAAGCAGATTTCATAGGAAAACCCCCTGCTGGCCCAGGTTGTATATGGTGGACCACAAAGCACAAAGGAGATCTTTCTGATTTACTGGGGAGGCATTTCCAAAGACCCCTGTAACCAGCTTAACTGCCTATCTCATCCTGGGAATCCCCGTGCTCCGAGGCGCCCTGGAGCCAGGAGGTTCCCAATAGGCTGTGTTATTATTATTATTTTAATTATAAAGATGTGGGGTACAATTCAGGGTTAGGTATACAGATATTGATTATGCAGGTACCCTTGTTGATGAGGTATGCCCCTCCCTCCCCTGGCGGTTTCCCTCAGCTGCCAGTCCCATCCCCCCCACAGTTTCCCACTACTGCCAATCGCTTTCTTAGAGTTTTATAATTGTCCTGTAGGTTGTGTTTTGAGTTAGTCTTGGGTTGTGTATTTCATCTATGAAGTTGGCAAATCCTTGAAAGCCACGAGCTACTGTTTGTTTTCTGAAAGCTTCTTTGCACACGAGCATAAAACGTATGTCTTGAATTTGGAGACTGTCCAATAACTGCCCTTTTAATGTAGCTGAATGCAGATCGCAGCATTGTCCTCTGGGGACATGCACACAGCTGTGACCTCTCCCTCTTTTCTCACAGGGTATCTCCTCTGCAGAAGTCTGAGATCGTGGACGTGGTGAAGAAGAGGGTGAAGGCCATCACCCTCGCCATTGGGGACGGCGCCAATGATGTTGGGATGATCCAGACGGCTCACGTGGGTGTGGGCATCAGTGGAAATGAGGGCATGCAGGCCACCAACAACTCGGACTACGCCATTGCACAGGTCAGCCGCGTGGGCAACTAACTGCCCTGTCCCATTGGCAGAGGGGGCATCTGGGCATTAGAGGCTGGCACCTGACCTTCAGTCCAGCCCTGAGACCACTCCAAGACTATCGCCCTTCTGAGATTGCTGTCTGGGAGAAAGTGCAGGCATATCTGGGTTTTTCTGCGTGTTTTATTTGGGTTTTTTATTTTGAGTCAGAGTCTCACTCTGTTGCCCAGGCTAGAGTGCAGTGGCACAATCATGGCTCACTGTAGCTTCAACATTCTGGGCACAGGTGATCCTTCTGCCTCAGCCTCCCAAGTATCTGGGACTGCAGGCATGCACCACCATGCCTGGCTAATTTATTATTATTATTTTTATTATTTTTTTATAGAGATGAAGTCTCACTATGTTGCCCAGGCTGGTCTCTAACTCCTGGGCTCAAGCGATCCTTCTGTCTCGACCTCCCAAAGTGCTGGGATTACAGGCGTGAGCCACTGTTCCCAGCTTCTCTGCAGTTTTGATCCTGTGCGATTTGGAGGTCCCATCCTGCAGTTGGGCTTCTTTTGTCCAGCTGTGGGACTGGCTGAGTGGCTCTGTTATTCAGGCGAGGTGCCGCTCCTGCCAGACGGGTCTCTGTTCACGATTATCTCACCCTCCGCTCCTGCATCTGCTGCGTGTGCAGTTCCTGGTGCGTCCCTTGTGAAGAGCAACTGAGCTCAGGGCATCCATTCTCTCCAGGCTGGTCCTGGCCAGGCTCCTTCTTCCAAAAGCACTGGGGATACCCCTGGTCAGGTGTTTAAGGTCAGGGACAAGCAGTGATTTACAGCTGCCACCCTCTCTGTAGTCGTGACTGAGGTGCCGCCCAGGACCACTGCAAATCTCAGAGATCGTGAGCCAGGTTTGGGCCGTCATGACCCCATGGGTAGGAGCAACCCCCTGTGGTTGGGCCAGGTTCAATCCATCCCTCTTGGAACCGAGCACTGCATGCAGAGGCTTCTGGTACCCTTGACCACACTGTTGGCCTGAGGATTTATGACCGCTAACAGCAAAGGAAAATAGCCAACCTCCGGATCCTGGAGTGCAAGTTGAGATCACATGGCATGCTGAATCCAGAAAACCCAGACATGGCCGTGAGCACACGCCCTTTCCCCCACCCCAGCCTGCGCTATGTCGTGATTAATCCCAGCTAGGTTGCAAGAGCTCCGTCGTGAGCTCTTGAAGAATCTGTTTGCCTTCATCACATGAACACAAGGAAGAATGCTTTGTACCCCACCAAACTGTAAGCAGGGGCAGTGTCTAAGGCATGAACAAGCTTCCTGCAGCCTTGGGACTATGGGTCAGTCCCTTGCAGCTTTGAGGCTCCACCTTCCCAAATTGGGGGCCTCTGTGTTAGATCACCCCTCAGGTTCCCCTCCAGCTCACCATTCTGCATACGCAGGGAGGCGTTTCAAAATCCTCGTGGCTCAGAAAAGGACACGAAATCCATCTTCTTCCTTTGTCGATTTCAAATGAATCCCCAAGGTCATTCCTGAGTTAGGTCAGGGAAGGAATCTGATGTGACAGGTGGGAAAACTGGGATCCCTCTGCATCAGGCGTCCTGCCTCAGGTCTGGGCGAGCGTACAGGGTCACACAACGGCGGCCCCACACACCTGCCCGAGTCAGATTCTCCAGGCCCGCGGGCCTCAGCTTCCTGCGCCCTGTCAGCGGTTGTAGATGTTAAACATCCCAGCGTTATTAAATACTTGAGTTATGACATCATGCGACTGCAGGGAATCTTAGGAGGTTTCCTAGGAGTTCCAGGCAAATATTTGGCTGTCTTTTTCTTGAAAATGTCTTGGGAAGGGAGATTCCATGACCCGCTTTATTGAAATGGCATACGCGTGGGTTGTGGGACCCAGGGCAATCACTCCCTTCAAATGGAACACAACAGAGAAGGATGGAGCAGGGAGCAGGGCCTTGTCACTCCCTTTGGGGTTCTCTGGCTCCCCCACCCCCGTAGCAGCCACTGCTGCCAAGGTGAACCATGCGTGTGACTGGGCGCCCTTGTGTCTCCTGTCCCTGGTGCTGTTCAGGATTAGGGGGTGCTGGAGTTCAGGACCGGGGGATGCTGGCCTCACGTGCTGTCCCCCAGCAGTGACCTACTTCTGCCTGAATGCCACAACCGGGACAAATTCTCTAGCCCCTACCAAAATGATAGACATTGCCAGTTGAAATTAACGCCTTCTGTTTTCTCTGTTCATTTTTTAAAAATCTATCTATTTATTTTGAATTGTAGTCTCACTCTGTCGCCCAGGCTGGAGTACAGTGGCACAATCATGGCTTACTGTAGCTTCGACCCCCTGGGCTCAGACAATCCTCCTGCCTCAGTCTCCCAAGTAGCCAGGACTACAGGAATGCACCATCATGCCCTGGATACTTTTTCTTTTTCTTTTTGTAGAGACTGGACCTCCCTATCTTGCCCAGGCCGGTCTTCAACTTCTGGGCTCAAACAATCCTCCCACCTCAGCTTCCCAAAGTGCTGGGATTACAGGCATGAGCCACCGCACCCGGCTTTGTTCATGTTAATGTGGAAATTTTTTTTTTTTTTTAGATTATGCATTTGAGGAAGTGGTTAGATACAGAGAAAAGGGGATATTGATCTCAAAGACGTATCCTCGGGAAAGGTTGCAAGAGTTGACTCTGGTCCCATGTCCCTCCAGCCTGCGTCATGCTTGTGTGCACAGTGAAGCCTGGGACTGCCAGCCACCGCCCTCCCTTTGCTGTCCTGCCCTGGGGAGCCCTGGGCAGCCCTGCGGCCGTCGTGTCCTATTGTGCTCCGGCTTCCCACTGTCCTCGGGAGAGAATCATGCCTGCTCCCTACCCTCTTAACGTTTTAGGAACAACCTCATGAAGACGGCGTTTTGATTTAGGATATACATTTTTTTTTCTTCCTGAAAACAAATCATTGTGGCACTCGAGTCCAGGCCTTCAGGATGACTTGAGCAGATGTTCTCTGTGCCCATTGAAGTCTAACATCAGGGGTCCAGGTCAGACGCAAACTTCCTTTTTATGTGTTTAGCCCGTTATTTTATGATTCCCCATTCCCCTTTGGAATCCTTAATGAGCCTTGATGGGGAGTTTTATTTTTCCATATGCACCTATACTGCCATTTTGAAGTCGTCATTTCGGCTCTGGGTGTGTGGCTAAGCCCAGAGCCTCGCGCTGACCCCCTGAAGAGCTCGCTGACATGTGACTTCACGTGGGATGTGGTCCCGTCTTTAGTGCCATGGGGATTAGTGTGTCGTTTCCTCTTGGAAATACATCTTTTTTTTAAAGTGTTGTGTTTTCAGTCAGGGTTAAATTTAATTTCAAAAGTCATCTGAAAGTAATAATTTCCAATTGCTAAAGAGTTTCTAATGTTCTGAGATGTTCTCATCACAGCTTGTCTCTCCTGGTTGCATGGTAGGGTTAAAGCTAGTGGGAACACAAACAGGGCATTCCAAGTAGCTAGAATCACAGGCACATGCCACCACACCCTGCTAATTTTTTTGAATTATTGTAGAGACGAGGTCTTGCCATGTTGCTCAGGATGGTCTCAAACCCCTGAGCTCAGGCAATCCTCTTGCCTCGGCCTCCCAAAATGCTGAGATTACAGGCTTGAACCACCGCGCCTGGCCGTGTGTGTCCCTTTTTTAGTGACTATACTGCGGTCTGAGTGTCCCTGTCTCTTGTTCCTATTATCACCATACACCTGTGACTGCTTGGAGGTGTCTGATTCCTGCACTTCTCTTCAGCTCAGGGGTCGCCTTCTGTCAGTAATTCAGACCCTGGAAGGCATTAGCATCAATGGAGTTGCTGAGAACAGCGATGGGAACCCAGCAGCATGTCTGGGGAAACTGACAGCACTGTCGACTTAGGAGCGGATGTGTGTGTTCTCCCTGGGCCTGAGCGCCCGCCTTTGGGGACCGGTCTCCTCAGCTCTCTCTGCCCCTGCACCTCCACCCATCTCGTCTGTCTCCTCTCACGGAGATCTCTGGTGACTTTCCCCCCCCAGGGACAGGCCCTCCTGACCTCGTTCCTCCTCTTTTCAGTTTTCCTACTTGGAGAAGCTTCTGCTGGTCCACGGGGCGTGGAGCTACAATCGGGTGACCAAGTGCATCCTGTACTGCTTCTACAAGAACGTGGTCTTGTACATCATCGAGGTAAGGGACGCGTTGTTCCTTGGGGACATCTCGAAGCATTCTGAGTCACTCCAAGAAAGGGTTTTGTTCACATGAAATTAAAGAAGAACTCGCTGTGACGTACCAAAACCTGGGTCGCTCGTAGCCAGCCTGGTCCACCGTTCAGCCTAGATCCTCATATGAACTGGCCCACGCAGGCACTTTGGCCACCTCACTCCACCCCTCTGTCCTCCCTCACTCTCCCTCTCTGCTCCTGGCTTCCTCTTTGCCACACCTCTTCCTTGGGTCCTTGGCTGGAGTAGAATGTCACTCACACTCCCCTTGTAGGTGGTCAGAGCCTGGGCAGCGTAGGCCCACACCTTTCCAGGTGGGCACTGAGACGTCGCTAGACAACCCACTCAGGTTTTTCTTGCTTAGAATGAACAGAACCTGGCCGGGCATGGTGGCTCACACCTGTAATCCCAGCACTTTGGGAGGCTGAGGCGGGAGTATCACTTGAGCCTAGGAGATCGAGACCAGCCTGGGCAACACAGTGAGACCTCGTCTCTACAAAGTAAAAATAAAAATACAGCCAGGAGTCCCAGCTACTCAGGAGACTGAGGCAGAAGGCTCTCCTGAGTCCAGGAAGTCGAGACTGCAGTGAGCTATAATCATGCCACAGCACTCCAGCCTGGGAGACAGAGTGAGGCCCACTCTCAGGAAAAAAAAAAGAAAAAAAAAGAACAGAGCCTGATTGCTTGTATTTCTCGCAGACTGTGTGAATTTTCTGAGCACCTGTTTACTGCTTCTGGGATACTTAAACACCAGTAGTTACAATGGAGGGTGTGGGAGTGAGGTGTGCAAAACAATGAGGTCATTGAAAACTTCACAGTGAGATCATATTCTGTCATCAGACAATTTTCCAAGATGCCGACTCTGTCACAAGTAAAACGAATGTACGTGCAAGAGGGATTGGGCATGGGAACAGGAGGCAAAGGCACTTTATGTCTGCTGGCAATGGAAGAATCAACCACCCGGTTCTTCCTTTGTGAGAACAGCTCTACTGTAAAGGCGTGGCTTTGGCGGTCATCATGGTGACCGATTTCCAAGTGTGTTTAGAAAAGGGGCCGCAGGCAGTCCCTCCACGGAAGAAGATTGCGAGGCTCAATGTTGGCGGAGTTCTAGTATCTCATCCTATCACGGGTTATTTTGTATCTGATTTCTCAACTTCTAGCAAAAATAATAACCAAGGCAGAAATCAACTCTTCCTGAGGGAGGCTCTTAAGAGACTCAGTGAAGTGACTTGCCAAGGTAACGGTGACTTCATCAAGTTGTCTGATCTTTTCCATCGGCTCATTCAGGTCAAACATGTAGGCTCATGTCACTCCTCTGATGACCAAACTACTCAAGTGTGATTTTCCCCGAGTTGTGCAGGTTGTTCACTGCACAAGGCTACCCACCCCAAAGAGTGAACGGGGCAGAAGCATAGCCTAGGCTGCTTTGTCTCTCCAGCTGCCCAGAGCCCACCTGGAAATGGCAGTGCACTTTTCTAATGTGCCTCGGTCAGCCTACTTGTGAGATGCATGTACATCTGTGGAGAGGATGCCTCTCCCAGCTCCCAGAAGAGCTCCTTGAGGGCTGGGGAGCAGCCCTGATTCTTAAAGTATGTCCCAAGCAATCAGAAGAGATCTGGGTAAAGTCCTGAAAATAGACCCGTTCTTCCCAATTTGACTCCTTTTATGTGAGATGTCCTGTCTGCCTATATTAAACAAATAGCTGTTTCCCTAGGAAGAAAATGTACAAGGCCCCTGCTGGCCCTTGAGAGATTTGGAGACGTAATTGCCATTTTATCCAGTAGAGTGAGGTTAATATCAATAATTTTAAAAATGATTCCTGATTTGCCTGCCCGTCTTGTGCTGTGATTTTCAACTCGGTCCTCTCTGGGTAGGAACTCATAGATGTCTGTTTATGGATTCTGTATTTCTCTCTCTTCTTGGCCCTGATTTTTACAGTTCCCTTTTGGCATTTAGAGACGTTTGTCGCCCGTTCTCCCACATTTCTTTGCGTCTGTGATAGGAGTCACTCCTAAATGTCGCTTGAGGTCACAACTGACAGCGTAAAGAGGTGTTGGATCCCTGTTCCTACATGCCATCCCAAGTTCCCAGCGTTTCTGCTGTTGGCCTTACAGGGTGTCTTAATAATCTGGTTTTCCTCACCATCAGCGGATTGCAGAGAGTCTAGACTTCTTATCGAGACATTCTCCCTGGCTCCCAACGTTTTCGCTTTCCAGAACATCCCCAGGGCCCCTCTTAGTCATTTACACCTACTATCTTGCTGGAGGGGTTTTAACCTCAAGTGGGCTGAGGCTGAGGAGACTGCAATTTTCGTCTGTCTGAAAAATTTCATCCAGAACAAGGCATTGAAAGTGCCATTGGAGGGCCTCAAATTAATATTTCAATTGTAGCTGCACCATGGTCATCATATGGTCTTTTGTAAACAGCCTTTTAAACCGTTTTTGATAAAGTTTTTTTTTTTTTTTTTAAGTAAAAAGCCTCCACCACCCTGCGCTTAATTTTCTATTTAGAATTTCTAGGAGATTTTAATTTGGAAACCAAGAAAGCAAGATCCTTGACAGGGCCCATGTGGTGAGAACATTGACTCAGAGTGTCTACCACTGCCAAATTACTTTCTTGGCATCAATGTGCACCTCAAATATCATCTTGAAAACAGGAAAATCGCCAGGCTTGTTGGCTCAGCCTGTAATCCCGCGCCTTTGGGAGGCTGAGGTGAGTGGATTGACTGAGCCCGCGGGTTCGAGACCCGCCTGGGCAGCGAGACCTCATCTCTACAATACATCAAAAAATCAGCTGGGCGTGGTGGCACACACCTGTAGTTCCGGCTACTCGGAAGGCTGAGGCGGAAGGATCGCCGGAGCCCAGCAGGTCGAGGCTGCGGTGGCCGGAAGCGGCCACTGCACTCCAGTCTGGGCGACAGAGTGAGACTCCAACTCAAAAAAAAAAAAGAAAATAGGAAAATCCTAATTGCATGTTATTTTAGTGTGTTTTGAACTGTAAGATCAAAGATGGTTGTAAGTTGATTTGTTCATTTGCAAAGAATACTTTTTTGTTCTAAAGGTAGCCTCATAATTAGTTAGGTGAGAATAAACTAAATACATTACTTATTTCTCTTAAATCATTTTCTTATAACTCATGGAAGGATCCTTTGCAATAGCCAATGTGTTCTCATCTCAAATGTCCTCTGAGATGTGTAACTATCATCATTTAAAAGTATAGTGTAAGACCGGTGGCAGTGGCTGGTGCCTGTCATCCCAGCGCTTTGGGAGGCCGAGGTGAGAGGATTGCCTGAGCCCAGGAGTTTGAGACCAGCCTGGACAACATGGCAAAACCTCATCTCTACAGTAAATGAAAAAATTAGCCAGGTGTGGTGACGAGCACATGTAGTTCCAACTACTTGGAAGGCTGAGGCAAAAGGATCACCTGAGCCCGGGAGGTTGAGGCAGCAATAGCTGTGATCGTGCCATAGGACTCCAACCTGGATGACAGAGTAAGACACCAACTCAAAAACAAATAAACAAACAGTCTAAAAGCAGTTTCGCAAATTTGAAAAAAAAATACACACTTGCATTTCATGACCTGAGTCATTGGATGAGGAACATGATGTGATATGGTTTGTCGTTTAAGACTGAGGGGAAGTGCTATAAGCCCATGGCATAGCACAGTCAACTCACTTGGTATACTAGCCTGGAAAAGTGGATTTTTCTGCACACGGAAGGCGTGGATGTGCTGTTCTTGCTGTGGAATACAAGCAGAAGTTTCCCTCCACTCCCCCACCCCGCCCCGCCCGTCTCTCCATCCATTCCTTGTTATCTATCCTGACTTTTTTCTCTGTAGTTAGAGATATTTACGTATACCAATAAATCAGCATTTGCAGATAAATGTCATTGTGTAGTACAATGCATTCTGCAACTTGTGTTCATGTAAGTGTCTTATGGAGACCCTTCCCCATCACTGTATCTGGCTCCATCCAGTGCATGGCATTTCACAGGGTGATTTCCCACAATCGATTTAACCATCTTCTGCACTGATCAACATTCTAGTCATCTCCAGTTTCACTTCCAAAAACCCTGTGAGGTGACAGCTTTCCTGCTACAAAGACCAAACTCCAGAGATGGGTGGCAGTGTGGGTTGCACAGCAGTTGGGAATGTTCTGGACTGCTCAAGTTCAAGTGTGATCTGCTGGGACTGTTCACTTTTTATTTTTATTTTTTATTTTAAAGATGTAGGGCACAATTCAGGGTTAGATATACAATTGGTGTTGTTCAGGTGAAGTGTGGGCCTTACTTTGGTCCCCACTTCACCTGGTTTGAGATCAGATACCCTTATTGATGAAGTGTGCCTCCACCTTCCTCCCCTGGCAGTTTCCCATCTACTGCCAAGGCCACTTTAAAATGGTTAAGATGGTAGACTTGATGTATATGCTATCCAATTTTTTAAATGTCAAAAAGAGAGAGAGAGAAAAGAATGTCACAAACACTTGGTCACTTTCATCACCTTGAAGGAGAGAAGAATATGCAAGAATATGCAAGGATGGACTGTGGGCTTTGGGGAGCTTCTTGAAGGTTTGGGAAACAAGCCCTACATGCCATTTTGTTTTATATGACACTAATGCAATGGTCAGTTCCGTGTCTGTGGCCAGATGGACCAGATCTCTGAGAAGGTGAAATTTGTTGTGGGCTGAAATGCTCAGAGCTTCTTCAGAACCTTGCAGGGGAGCTGGGATTCCATCAGCCGGCTGGGGGAGGGGTGCATTCCCCACATGTCTGTGTTGGGGCAGTGGGAATGGGCTAAAATTAGCAAAGCCAGGGAGGCAGGACTGAACAGGGCATTTGAGTGGCCAGGGAAGGGGATCTGAGTAGTTCCACAGGAGTTGTGTTGTCATTAGAAGATGGGTTCCCCCTCTTTTTTTTCTATTTTGGGATAAGAAAGTTACATGATGGAAGTGATTTAAGAAAATTTGTCAAC